AGGTACGTAAGGTTCAGGGAGGACACCGTGATCAAAGAAGATATCATGGCAAACCTATCAGTAAATTTAGCAGAGAACCACGTCACAACTGGGGTCAAGGAACAAGGCTCAGGCAGTCTCAACGACCCACATCAGAGGGTGTCAACAATAAATGTTACAATTGTGGAGGAGACTACCCACACCAAGATAATGTTTGTCCTGCTCAAGGTAAGAAGTGCTATGAGTGTGGAAAACTAGGTCATTTTGGTGCTATGTGTCGTTCTGCACTTAAGAAACCACAGTCAATGAATAAAAGCACTACGAGGATCAGGTCATAGGGGTCGAGGTGGTAAACACAATATTGCACCTCATATCCAGAATGTTAATAATGTACAAGACAACATTTCATTACAACCAGTCTCAGATGACAGTGAATGTGATTATACTTATGGAGTACAAGCAATCACAGAATGGAATGATCTTCCAAACAACCCAGAGACATGTGTATACATTGCTGGTATTTGTCTCAAAGTTCTCATTGACACTGGATCAAACATTGATACCATTGCTGAGTGCCACTATGAAAAATTTAAAAAAGTTCCCAAAGCTTAAACTATAATGGCAAAGCCACTGCCTATGCTTCGAAGTTAGCCTTGCCAGTGATTGGAACTTTCACTGCAGAGATTAAGTCAAAGAATGCAATGCTCATTACTACATTCCATGTTGTTAGGAATGCAAAGGAGTCTTTACTCAGTTACAAGACTTCAACCAAATTGGGGCTACTTCAGCTTTCTAATGCTGTAGCAGTGGAATCTGCAAACAATGTTGATGGTATTGTTGCTGAATTTTCTGATCGATTTAAATCCATAGGTTGTTATACTGATAGCAAAGTACATCTGCATATCAACCCAGATGTAATTCCAGTTGCCCAACCACATCGCCGATAACCATTCCATACTCGCAAGAAAGTCGATGCCGAACTGGATAGGCTGATGGAACTAGATATCATTGAACCAGTAACAGGCCCAACACCATGGGTAAGCCCAATTGTCACTCCACCAAAGCCGAAGAATCCAGATGAGATACGCATTTGTGTGGACATGCGTGTTCCCAACAAGGCAATAATGCGTGAACGCCATCCTACACCCACTGTAGATGATATGATCTACCGCTTGAATGGTGCAACTGTATTCAGCAAGTTAGATTTAAACAAGGGCTATCATCAGCTTGAACTTGATGATGAGTCGCTTCATCACAACGTTTACGACACATCGAGGTCTGTATAGGTACAAGCGCCTGAGTTTTGGTATTAACAGTGCTGCCGAGGTATTCCAGCACATCATCAGCCAGGTATTGCAAGATATACCTAATGCTGACAAAATGTCTGATGACATCATTGTTTATGGCCGTACCCAAGCTGAACACGACAGCTCTTCGTGCAACATTGCAACGCTTACGAGAAAAGAATTTGACGCTAAGCCGAGCAAAGTGCGAGTTCAATCAACATAAAATTGAATTCTTTGGACATGTACTTAGTGACAAAGGTCTGTCTCCAGATCCTAAGAAAGTTGCAGATATCAAGAATGCTGCACCTCCTTCAACGTCCACTGAAGTACATAGTTTTCTGGGAATGGCAAACTACTGTTCTCGCTTCATTCCAGATTTTGCTATCATTACGAAGCCTCTACGTGAGCTCCTGAAGAAAAATGCATCATGGTACTGGAGCGATATCGAGCAAAATGCATTTGATGCTGTGAAAGATGCACTAGTAGAGAATGCGACTGCTGCATACTTTGATCCATCAATGGACACTGAGTTAACGGTGGATGCTAGTCCTGTTGGATTAGGTGCTGTTTTAGCCCAACACAAACCTGGTCAACCAGAGTCCAGAGTAGTAATTGCCTACGCCAGCCGTTCTCACAGATGTTGAGCAACGATACAGTCAGACAGAGAAGGAAGCTCTTGCTCTTGTATGGGGCTGTGAACACTTCAATGTGTATCTGCTTGGTGCGCCCTTCACCACGATAGTCACTGACCACAAACCGTTGGAGACCATCTTCAATAATCCAAAGTCCAAACCACCAGCTCGCATTGAGAGATGGGCTCTTCGTCTGCAACCATACAACTTTACGGTGAAATACAAGCCGGGTGCAGGCAATCCCGCTGATTACATCAGTCGACATCCTGCAAACAGTTTCACCATCACCAAGCATCAGCAAGTTGCCGAGGAATATGTACACTCTGTAACCTGTGATGCAGTCCCTAAGGCTCTTACTCTTGATGAAATCCGTACTGCAACCCTAGAGGACCCAACTCTGCAAGCAACGGTGGATGCATTGACTAAGAAAAAGTTTCCACGCATCCCACCCTCAGGAGTTGACCAAGATGCATTCAAAGCACTTGAACGCATCCAGACAGAATTAAGTGTTACGCAACAACGCGACACTGCTGCGAGGTACTCGTATCGTTATTCCAGCTGTTCTCCAGCAACGTGCTCTGAAGCTTGCACATCAAGGACACCAAGGTCTTGTTGGGACCAAACAGCTGCTACGAGAAAAGGTGTGGTTTCCTGGCATTGATCGTCAAGCAAAGGATATGCATGATGCCTGTGTCCCTTGCCAAGCTGCAGTGGATACTTAAAGACCAACACCTCTACAACCTTCACCACTACCTGCTGCACCATGGACGGAAGTATCGATGGACTTCTGCGGACCACTACCAACTGGAGAGTACTTGATGGTAGTCATTGATGATCACTCACGTTATCCAGAAGTAGAAATCATCAATTCCACATCTGCAAAGGCCGTCATCCCGAAACTTGACAAGATCTTTTCAAACTTTGGCATTCCTGAAGTTGTCAAGACGGACAATGGACCGCCATTCAATGGACAAGACTTTGTCAACTTTGCTGAGCATATTGGATTCAAACACCGCCGTGTGATGCCACTACATCCTCAAGCAAATGGAGAAGTTGAGAGATTCATGCAACCTCTCATGAAAGCGGTACGCTGTGCTCATGCCGAAGGACGATCCTGGGAACAAGCTATGTATGCTTTTCTCAGGAACTACCGTGCAACACCGCATGGAACACTGGGCAAGTCACCTGGTGAACTTTTATTTGGACGTCCTATGAGAATCGCACTACCCGTCATGCCAGCCAAGGTAACGGATAAACGTCTCGCTCAGAAGGATGCACTAGCCAAGGGCAAAATGAAAATTGCTCACGATCAACGTGCAAAGGAACAGTTCATAAAGGTTGGAGACACTGTTCTCGTTAAAAAGAAAAAAGAGGGAAAGTTAGATATGCCGTATGATACAAAACCATATAAAGTGATTAGTGTAAAAGGAACTATGGTAACAGCTAGTAATAGAGATCATAGTATAACACGTAATATGGCTTATTTCAAAGTGATTCCAACTAGTGTAGAAAATGATGAAGGTTAGGAGTGTTGAAAATTCGTTACCAAAGTTCACTTTCTCCAGGTGCAGATATATGGAATTGTAGTGCAACTAACTAAGCTTTGCATGATGAGGATGATAGATTCTTCTGCGCATTCAAAGAGTGACGTTTTGTCAGTGTGAAGGTTACACTAATCTTCATCTTTTTGAAGTAGTAAATTAATACTTGAAAAATCCTTTAGGATTGGTTTGAGAAATGAAACTAGCTTATTGGCAGGATCAAGACTTTGAAAATTGTTGCCTTGGAACATATTTATAGCAAAAAAACGAAGCGGATAGGACTTTTATACATTACATTATAAAAACAAAATCGGTTAACATTAGTAGCTCGACTTCCTTTCCAATTAGCCAGTGTCGCAAGTACCAAAATTAAAAACTTAAAAGGAATGATCGGGGGATAGTGCCAAGCCATACTATATAGCACTGGGAAAGGGAAGGGGGGGGGGGGTCAGGATAAGGCTTTGGGATGGGACGGGGGAAAGGAATGGTGCCCAACCACTTGGACGGTCGATAGTGCCGTTAGTATTTGTAGACGGCAAGTCTGCTAGTACGTCTGCCAAGATGAGTGCCCGTCCCTCTAGCTCCCAACAGGGAAGGGAAATGCCTCTTGTGCTGTGTAAATCTTGTGTAGTTCTAGAGTCGATTGAGATCGACCATATGGTCGTTTTGGTGCTAGTCTCCGGAGTGGTGGGGGTGGAGGCAGCGAGACTTGTGTCCGGGGCTATGATGGGGTTCAGACAGTTGGCTAGGTACATCATGTAGTTCCGTGACGAATCGTAGATTGTCTGGTCTGGCAAGCCTCTCCGCTAGTCGAATAAGACCAGGGATAATGTCTGCACGTGATGCCACGTGCTGTGAAGGTGCTGATTGGTCCTGGGAGGAGGGGAGGGGGGGGGGGGTTGTGCAGTGTAGGCCGGGGTGATCTGTTGGGAGCCAATGTTTAGTGCAGCTGGTAGGGTCGTAGTCTGCATCTGGCTTACTGAAGGCTCGAACTGGTCAGGACTAAAGTCGCAGCGACTTGCTTCTTGGTGGACGGCGGCGTTGGAGGGAGGGGGGAGGCTTCACTTCTTGATCGGTTCTCCTTGACGGGTGGTTGATCTGTCCCCTCCCTCCAACGCAGGGAGCCGGTCGGCCGAGCGGACAGCACGCTGTATTTGTGGTCCTGGGTTCGATCCCAGGCGCCGGCGAGAAACAATGGGCAGAGTTTTTCACCTTGTGCCCCTGTTACCTAGCAGTAAAATAGGTACCTGGGAGTTGGTCATCTGTCACGGGCTGCTTCCTGGGGGTGGAGGCCTGGTCGAGGACCGGGCCGCGGGGACACTAAAGCCCCGAAATCATCTCGAGATAACCTCAAGATAACCTCCCGCTCCGCAGCCATTTGCTGCAATTGGGCCGCCGCCTTTTCATGGTTTCTCCCGCGGACGAGCCTGGATCGTGACAAGCCTGGCGGGAATTTTGGCTTCTGCTATGGTGGTGGTGCCATATTAGGTGCTTCTACCTAATCTGCACAGTAAAATAAACTAAAGAGGTTGGTGGCGGCGGCGTGCTGTTCTCCAGTTCACGCCTTGGTGTTGGTACAGTCATTGTAGTTCACAGTACTGGAGCACGAGTTGCACTTAGCAGATTGTTCTGGATACTTGAAGTGCTCATAGCTGAAGCATTCTCGCGTTGTAGACTCCGTGGCGATCTGGTTTGGGTAAGAGATTCTAAAGCACTTGAAACCGTTCTTCACTGCTTCCTGGGTCTGCTCTGTTTCGAAGATCATCGTAGATAGTGACAGTTTTGATGTAGTTGTCTTTCAGAGTAAAGTTTTCTTCATTCACTTGCCACACTGAAGAGTACTTCGCCCGCTAACTAGCGTTTCAGCCTATTCACATCATTTTTTTTGTCCCGGCAATGATTTGTCTGGGTGGAATCGGCGAGAAGTTCGCCTCCAGTAGTGGGACCTGGCGTTCCGGATCCAGGATAGTCTTTAGGTCCGCTTTTGTTGCCACAATTAGTGGCCTCATTACCATGCTTATGGACATCAACTGACCCTACTGACGTATCCTTGTCAATGGCTGCTGCAATTTCGCGATCATGGCGCTTGTAGACTCCGATGAGTCGCACTTTCACTGTCATGTTCTTTGGCAATGACGGTCTGTTACCCTGGGTCCAGTCCTCTTGTTGTTCTTGACCTAATCAGGTCGCCTCTATTCTCGACTACCGATGCACCAGTAGTGATGCCTTCTATGGTGTTATGGCCAAGTGTCCTTTGTCCTGATCCTGAGAACTGGAGTTAATAGAAGTGTTCATCTGGATGTTATCCCTCGTAACTCCTCCATACCCCCAAGGAGTGGCTATTGGGACGGCTTACATTCGTCCATTTATTCATTACTTGTATTAATTAGCTTAGGTTTAAAATTATTAACCTTGGGGTAGAGGCACTATGGGCTCACCATAGCCAGTGTTACTTTGAGCTTTTTGTTCCAGGTAGCGAATCTTTAACAATAATTATCCTTGGAAGTGAATTTGTCGGCGAAAGTATCTGGTATTTATTAGAACCCCTTGTTATTCTAGTTCTAATTACTTTCATAAATTGTTTACTCCTTACTATCAATCCTATGATTCAATTTTCCAACATTGGTTTGCTACAACACTACATAACCATAATTAAACATGGCTTTTGTCTTCAATTCTGATCTCAAGTTTTCGCCCTGTTTCAGCAACAAACTTAGCTGCAGGTTTTAAAATGTGATAGAAATCCGGAAGGCGATTGTATATTATCTCTTGCTCTATTCTTACAAACGCTTTCAAAAATTGTATTGGGGTAATTGAAAAGGGCTTGTATCAAATACATTATGACCCTCTTAATAAGAGGGCTATATCGTAATCTCGGCTATTTTCTTACCGGGATTATAAGTGCTTTATTGTGAGCTTTATCGATGAAAAAGATGGATAACCTAAATACAAATATTAAGTTCGCGTTCTAGGTAAGACTGGTCACAAATCTTTCACGCTCTTAAATAAGCAGTGTACTCGATGGTCTTTAACAGACTTAGAATGAGTCCGTACTTTTTTTTTTTTGGGGGGGGGGGGGGGGGTTAAGAGTCTGTTGACCAAACCGCGCACTAGAAATTGGAGACGAAGACGTTGAAATGATCGTTACTTCTACCTACAATGCAATCTTACTACTTTTTTCCATGGTTAAGTTTTAAGTAATGGTCCACTGGCTTAAGAGCATTGCAATCTACTTCTAGAAATCGTCAAATATAGCAAAAAAGACATATTTGAATTCTGGGACATTTCCGTCAATTATTTGTGCGTGAATTGAATTGGGAAGGCAAGTCAGAGGTTAGACTTTGTTGAATAACTTAAAATTCCTTAGTTCTTTTGAAGCGTTTTTAAGCTAGGAACAACGGATCTAAGAAGGCAGCCTTCCCTGTGGATAGCTACCATATAGATGAAAGGCATCTCGGGCAGCTTAGCAGAAATCGGAATGTTAAATCATTCCCAACACTAAAGTGTAACCTCGTGCTGACCTTCCCGATTCAAATCAATTGAATTTAACTTGTAATTGGGATATGCGGGGGGGGGGGGGGGGGGATTAATCATACACTATACACTACCATCGCAGCAAATTTTCTTCATTATAATTTATTCATAATGATATTAACTACCCTTTTCTGCTTTCTTAACACTTCGCATATTTTTAGATCGTTAGCTTAATTTTTTTTTTTTTTTTTTTTTGGTAAACAGCCTTAAAAACAATCGGCATTAAGATTGGCAAAAAATGCATGAACAGAACTCGAACAGTATAACACAGTCGTATAATACACACAAAGGTTTACCCAGGCTTATGTTTCCAAAGTCATAAAGCACCAGAGCACTATAAACCAACACTAACAAGGCAAGAAACGCTTGAACAAAAAATAAGAACAGTATAACATCACACAAATAAAAGCTGTACAGTACACAAAATGAAAACATTAACACAGAATACCGGACCACAGGGAACCGGCAGACCAAGAGCAAAAAAGATATATGCGGGAACTTAGAATATGGCTTTTTTAATGCATAGTACAGAAAAGATAATACAATAAACCCTACAAAGCAAACTCAAAATACAGCACAAACCACCAAAAGAAAAGTCGGAAAAAGTACACATGATACGGAAACATGCACAACAATTTCCCACGGCACAAAAAATAAACTCAAAGAACCACATACAATTAATCACAATTCATCTGGAATAGACGACGAGGGTACTTCCTCCTGTAGGCATCCCACAGAGCCCACTCCTACGCAGACACGTGACCACGCGATCGCAGTGGTCGCTACATGTAATTGGGAGTATCCAGCATGGCGCCCTTCACCACGGTGGAATACAGGGGGGCGGCTGCGCAGAAACGACCATAAACACAAGTACTTGTGTATATACACTAATCCATGTTGTAAATGTGTAACACTCCCTTGGGACAACAAAAAACGTCTGTAATCTTCTAGCCCGGAAAGTCCTTCGTACAACGGATTTCTTCCCCGAGCCTATCTTAGGGGTACTCATGCCGACGAGTCCACTTTTCTCGGTAAATCATGGGTCAGTCCTCCACAGTATAAAGTGTCAAAACATTACCTCGAAACTCATCACACATGCTGCCTGGCTTCTTGTAAAAGTTTAGTCTAACAAGCCTTAAGTTGGATGACACTGACAGTAATTTCATCTAGTAAAAAACTGGGCCACCTTGGGATACGTCGGTCCAATCAAATAGCTCTGGTTACCACAGACAATTAAGTCTCCACCGAATAGGCCCTACTTACTACTTGCTAAAAGTAGTGTTCAGGACTGCCCTTGATGATCACTTTAGGTGAACTGCCTCTTGTCCAATTTACCTCCTGCATCACTTCAGAGGAATAAAAAATTATATAGTGAGACGGAAACTACAAAAGTGTTCAGATCACGGCTTTATACTGGGGAACACGCAATGGAGGGAGGGTGGGGGGAGGACATGGTGCACTCTACAGATGGCATCGACACACACACTGGAATACGGTATTTATTATAATGCCAAAAAGAATGATTGATTTTTTTTTTAAAACCTTGTTTCTCGGTTTGCTGCATCGGGAACCCTTTACTTTCCCCAGATAACCAAATAGAAGCTGCCTGTGGGCCACATGTTAGGAATCTCTACTTTCTCCTGCTGCCTGTCTTCACAATGCTGGTCCAGATATGGACTGGTGTACTAGTGAGACGGAGCAAGATTGAGGACAGAATTTAACTTTTAATACCTAATCTCCGGAACAGGTTCGGTGTGTTAGGACAAGTTTATATTTGAGGTGCGACAAGAATGCCAGTTGGTTCAATGGAAAACACGATATTAAGTTTAAAACTAGAGAATACTTGTGTTATTTACAATAATGTACTTAGGGATACCAACCCGGGTATCCCAAGGTACTAGTCCTCGGGGCTCACCGTCCCTAGAGCTTCGTCGTTGATTGGGAGTCGTAGACTTGCGTTGACGAACCATCTCTGTGCACTCCATAGACTTAAAGGCTCAGAGTATGGCCTTTTCCCGGGTTCACGTAAGGCCCTCACCCGTAAGGATTCCGCAAATGCTTTTTATTAATGCTTGCAGGCTCTGGTGGGTCTCTGGCACAAAGACCAAGTTGACAGCGAAGGCCAGTGTAGAGATCCTCTTGCTCCTCGACTTCACCCCTGCACAGTCCTTCTTGGCCTCTGTAATTGCCTTGTCGATCATTAGACTGAAGGGGGTTATGGGGTCGCCCTGTTCCACGTCGTGTGATCAGGATTGCCTCTGATTTCTGACTGATGCCGGTCGAGGCCTCGTCGTATCCCGACATGATGCATGTCCTAAAAAGCTCTGGCATGCACTACATGGCCCTAGAAATGGCTGGATGGATGACGCTATCGAACACCTTCTCCATGTCCAGGAACGCGAGGTGCGTGCAGTGACGCAACGCCCAAGCTGTAGCCAGTAAGGCGTACAGCAGGTTTTCTGAACAATCAATCGGAAGGAATGCCTCTTCTAATGCTTAACGATGCGCACGTCCTTGGAGAATCTGCTTCCCAATAGCTTACCACGATGGTGCGGCGACTTCGTCAGTTATGGGGCAATAGTGTTTGCATTCTGGGGGGTTGGGAATCTTTGGGATCAGCACCTGGTTCTGTGAAATGGTTGGGCAGGGGATGGGGGCAAGGACTAGCTTAAGAGCCACGGGTTGTAGAGCTGTTAGCACTTACGTTTATGGAATTGACAAAAGGTTGATCGAAAATGATTTAAGAAACGATAAATTTGTCTTCATATACGGGTTTGCATCATTTATCGTGTATATAATGAATTTTTACCATTAAACGGGAAGTTCTTAAACGGGTCATAATTTAGAAGTTCAATTTCAAACTTTGACTGGATAGATATGAAAAGGGCTCCAACTGGTCCGTTTCAGCATTGCAGCCTAAATAGAAAAGGGGGAAAAATGCAACTTTATAAATAGACGAATTATATGAATTTTCAAAATTACTACACTAAAATTGACTGATAAGTGTCATAGAAATATCACAATAGCATATAAAAATTCGATATTCATTATCCAATATCTTGGTTTTACTAAAGTTTTGTCCTCCCCAAAAATTATACAATGTTTAAATGTTCAGAAAACCAATAAATGGACTTGAATAAAATAAATCATTGTAGACATAAACTATACATAAGGTGTAAGTTTCATGTAAATAGAATAGTAGTAGTCACCTTGTAGTTGTAAATTACTTGA